CTTTTCTCCCCCCCCCCCCCACTCCGTATCCGGTTGGCTTTGGGACAATCTTTCATAAGTGCAATCACGTGTGTGTGTGTGTGTGTGTGTGTACATGTGGCGGTTTTTATTTGACATGTTACAGATTGTATCTAGGCCTGTTTCGTCTGCCAGTTTCTCTCCCTCTTGCGAGCGCGAGTTTGCTGGTGGCAATTGCATTGTCTCTCAGCTGGACTGCTTCAATGAAAGGATTTGATAAATAACAGTCTTTGAGCCGAACGGTCATGGTTTCTTGGCCTATTTTCTCACGACCTTGTGAAATTATTGCAATATGCTACGTATCAGCAACGCATGCCTGCATTTAGTTATCCTCCGCTTCGTTTATCATTTCGCCTTGAACAGATCTACAGTGCCGTCATCGGAGTACGATTTTATAAAACACAACCGCAAATTATTTAACCTCATCACCTTTTCGCTTCGTATACTATAGGATTTGTAATCAGATCCTACTGTAAATTTATTCTAGTTGTGGGAACTTTAAGACCTTCGGACCAAAAACATCAAAGAATCAATGAAACATCGATGAATAATTTGAAATGGTTTGCCCCTTGTGTCATGCTATACAATGATGAGCCCGGTCGGTAAACTGTAATCATATAGCCAGATCCAAAAGTGTTTCGCTTAATCCGCGTGGGTGATTTATTAGTTAGCCTGAAAATCCCAATGCAAAACAAACGTTCAAAGCTATTTTTTCCTCAACTACAAGAGCACCAAACAGAGCACCGGATTTCTGAGAACAGGACCTGAATACAAACAGAAGTATTGTGTATAACTTTTGCAAGCACTGGAGTTCATATTTCACTTACACATTCCAATACACACTGCTGATGAGTTTCAATAAGGATGAAATAGCTGTCTGGTGCTCATTGTCAACCTTCACACAAAATTGTCACCGTACACATAAAGCGTTTAACTTGAGGAGAACAATCGATTTCTGAGGGAATGAAATCATACATTAAAAGATAAAAACACCATACGCGATGCTTGGTGCCTCTGAATCCGAATGACCTCGTATAAGCATTGATTCTAACAACAAGCCGTCTAATTATATTTGCTTGAGAAATTTTTGATCATGTGATTTATAACCTTGCGACTTCGATGTGAATTTGACTATGAACTGCCCCCTAGCGTGTGTAATTTCTACAGCGACTTTCGAATTGTCGACGTAGCACATTATGCAGCTAAAATGTAACTGACAGGCACTTGAGGCGCGTTGCTTATATTTTTTCGATTATACAGTTTGCTCAGCACAATGAATTGCGACCGATAAATCATATTCCATAATAAATTTGATATACTTTCTCAAACATCTTGACATTAAATATTTCCCATTCTTTCTGCCACGGCCTGTAACTAACGACCGTCATGGCCTGTCCTTCGTCGTTACTAGTAGTGTGAGGTTCTATGCATTAGACCGCAACCTATTTCAGTTAGATGAAACAGGACATTTGTGTCAAGCGTGTATTTTGGTTCATCACACACAGTCCAGATGTCAAACAACACGAAAAACACCACAATGCAGTAGGCTACTGTGCCAACCATACAATTAATCCTAAACAATACGTATTCACTGAATCCATTAAGCTTTGAACCCGGAGACGAGTTGCTCGCAATCCTACGCTGCAAATACTCTGACTGCCCGGGGCTGGCTCGGCAACGATGCGTTTACAGCAACGGAAGCCGGACGTATCGACCGTCATGAGGGAAAGACCAATTCTGCCAAACATGTGATTGATTCCAGCTGGAACGGTTCGATCACAGTTTCCTAAAGGTTTTATCTTCTTCGTGGGTATTTTCGCTGCCCTAGATTCGTCATCTGTGAAATCTTTGATTCGATTTCAGTCCAATGATCGTGTCACAGAAAACGCCTAATTCTATTGACTATTGATATTGGCAATGCCAGTAATATATATAGTTTGGCAATTAGACACTAAAATGGTCAATCTGTTCGTTGTGGAGATCAGCCTATGAAAACTCGATATTGTATATCGTTTCTCTAGATAAAGATGTTCTTCATCAACCGAAGTTCGAGTTTGTGACTATGCTTTTGGGGGGATATCATTATCGGTTCGGAGAAATTAAGACAATTTGGGGTTAAACTCATTGCTGTCGTTAGTCCGAGGGTGTAGTGTCTGAATAACGAAGTCCTGAATTTTGACACACAATTTCAGAATTAATTATTGTAAACACTCAGTTTCCATTGTTGCCACTCATCGAGTATAACCACTGGCAAGTGAACGGCCGAAAAATTGAGCACGAGTCAACGTGATAAGCAAGAAATAGACTACTTAGGTCACTTTGTAACCCTGTGTATAAACACACCCGGTAACTTGAAACAGATGTTGACCATCAGAAATGAAACTCCGTTGGTAAGGAGTAATATTCCGCATACAAAACAGCCTATTGTTTTCACCTGTACCTGGTCAGATATAAGCAACTAACCCTAACGTCCGAGTGCAGCATATTATCGATGAGTAGGAATTCCCACCTCATTGACATCGAAGCCATGGGAAAGTGATTAGAACACGTAAGACGAGTGAATCTATCAATCCCCCAAAACAAACAAGGGGTTGACTGTATATTCCTAAATCCGGTGGGAAAATATAGCCCATGTTGCAAAACAAAAAAAAATATATATGTAGGTAAGGTATCAGAGAGAGAGGGGGAGAGCAAAATGCGAATATAGAACAAAATAAGGCAACTGTTTCTGGCACACAAAATTGTTCCGTGAACAATAATGTGAATGGTCGGATTTGGATAAGAAAATTCAGTAAACAAAATAACAGTTCGCAGAGAATTAATAATAATTGTAGTAAGAAGAATATAGAGAATAATATTTCAAGATGGAGGATGGGGTTCGAAGTAACAATCGAATGCTCACTGGTATCTATTTTGTCATCACATGCCTCCTTCCGCTCTCTCTCTCTCTCTTGCTTGCATCAGCGTATGCACACCATGCACACACACACACTCAGAATCTATCCCATTCATTCATAAATCTACAGACACATGCTGTACCGCCAACCGCGTTCTCCTTTTCACAGTTTCTCTTTGGCTTGTGGTGAATGAGTTGTCAAAATGAAAAATGACATTAAGAAATAACCGACGTATCGAAATAATACAATTGTGCATAGTCCGAATGTGTATAAACGTTAGTTTGCTTGGTTGCTTGTTTGTCCTCGTCGGACTTGTTTGAGACGTATTCACGCACACACACTCTGCGGTGCCCCCAAGCGGATGAAATGCGTAGCACATGAGCAAGGTTACACCGGGCAGTTCTCCCCCTCCGGCTAGCGTGCACCTCGCCAGAGCTCTGTTGGTTTCCACGATTTCCAATTGTTCGAANGAAAACAAAGAATAAAACATTCAATCGTTGTGGTAGATCTGCGTACAGCGGACCCTGAATACGGTCCATCCAAGAAATAAGAAATAACTGACACCCGTTGATATGATGAGGGTGTGATGCCTGTCTTAGTGCACGTGGTTCTCACAGTGAGAGTTCTTGGAACGCCGTGGTCCACGGTATTTTTACCGACTCGGCTACGATTGGATTTACCGCTTGTTGAGCCGGGACCACTTTAGGCTTTCGCCCGCATTTGCTTTTTTCACGGAAATGCACTTTTGAGTGTCGGTTGCGTTCGTCAGACCGGGCAAAACGTCGTTCACAGTGAAAACACGGATACGGACGTTCACCGGTGTGTGTTCGACGATGGGTCATCAGATGATCGCTTCGAGTGAAACCTTTGTTACAACTTTCACAGACAAATTGTTTCACATCACTATGTATTCGTTGATGTCGTTTGAGTTCATCAATTCGAGCAAAACGTTTGGTACAGTCAAACATGGTACAAGCAAACGCTTTCTCCAAAACACGGTTCTGTTTTGTTGCGGGTTTGGAGGTTGACGGAACTGCCGCGGACACGACACGAGGTCGCGTCTGTTTCGGATGCGACGGGGGATAGAACAGATTCTCCTGAGTTGTGAGTGTAAGCCCGCTCGATTTGAGAGTTACTGGATCCGTCTGATCGTACACGTAATCCGGAGGTTCAATTTTGTACACAATGTCAAGCGTTTGTGGCCGACTCGGTGGGGCACGGGTATGTGTCTGTTCGGGAATGAATGTAGCAGGTGGTAATTGATAAACCACAGCAGAATCGTCTTCCATTTTGAAAGTGCTTATACCTGTGGTTCCAGGAGCAATCAAGTAATCGTAGGTGGAAACTGGTTGGGTGAAAGGGGGTTTGACTTCAAGCACAGTATTGTCTGAATTACTACCGAAAGACTGTGGAGGACTGAGAGAGCTGTCTGTGCTCGGTGCACTGCATGCTGCCTCCGAACCCAGTAAATAGTCATCGGAAAACCCGGGGTAACTGTGTCGTGTGTTCACTTCCAAACAAGTCATGGATTTCGCGGAGTCGGTTGAAATCGTGGAGGAGGAGCACGAGGTGATCATTACAGAAGTTGGCACATCCGTACTTTGATAACAAGGATCCGGGTGACAGTAGGACAATGCGCCCGGTGCAGTGCAATGACCCGAGTCTGAAAATAAAGATACAAAAATAAAGATGAGCCCAGGAACGAGATTGTAAAAACCGTCCATCAACTAAATTAAAACTTTTGAAAATCAAAAATGAGTCAATAAATTCAAGCTCATCAAAACAAACTTACCCAAGGAAACGGACCTTGGAGGGTAGACGAAGTACCCATCTGCCTCACATGATTCCAGAGGCGTGGGCGTGTCCAAATTTTCTATTCTCAAGTAATCTTGAAAGCTCGCAT